CCCCAAAACCCCAAAACCCCAAAACCCCAAAACCCCAAAACCCCAAAACCCCAAAACCCCTTGCTTAAGATCTTATGTTGACATCATCCTTTATAAAATTAATTCAAAGATGCATCGGCTGAATATGCTTAAGAGGCACATTGCCGCCTCTGAAACTAGCGAGTGTCAGAGCAACGATTCGTTTACCGTTGTGGACAATAGAACAGGTAAGATCTGAAAAGTTTCTTGCTCTAACTCATATTATAGGAAACACCTATGAGATGCCTGTCACGGATAATACGATTTCAGCAAAAGACTTACAGAAAATTAAAAGTCCTGATGGTGAAGTCACTAGATACTTTGATCCAGGATACATGAACACTGTCAATTGCGTAAGCTCTTCATTTTCAAAATTTTGGGACTATCACTAAACTATCTTATTTAGAGATCAAGCATAGCTTTCATAGATGGAGAGAAAGGAATCCTAGAGTATAGAGGCTACTCAATTGAAGAACTTGCAGAAAAGTCTACATTCTTAGAAGTTGCATTCCTTTTGATCTACGGAGAACTCCCAACCATCCAACAATGGAAGAAGTTCAACAAGAAAGTCATGACTCACACATTCCATCATAATGAGTTGAGAAACATGATGAAAAGCTTTAGGTACGATGCTCATCCAATGGGTATGTTCGTATCTGCTATGTCTGCTTTATCGACATTCCATCCTGAGGCTAATCCAGCCCTCGCTGGACAAAATTGATATGATGACCCAATTGCTAGAAACAAGCAAATTTATCGTATCTTGGGAACTGCTCCAACAATTGCTGCTTCTTCATACAGACACAGAATCGGAAGAGAGTATAACAGCCCAAGATATGGAGGCTATACTGAGAACTTCTTCTACATGCTAGATAATTTGAATGATTCAGATTTTAAGCCTCATCCAGTTCTTGTCCGCGCTTTGGATGTCCTGTTCATTCTCCATGCAGAGCATGAATTAAATTGCTCAACTTCAGCTGTGAGGCACTTGGCTTCTGCTAACACTGACATTTATACTTGTATTGCAGGAGGAGCAGCAGCTCTGTACGGACCATTGCACGGTGGAGCTAATGAAGCAGTCCTCAAGATGCTTACCAAGATTGGAACAAAGGACAACATTCCAGCTTTCATAGAGAAAGTCAAGAACAAAGAAGAAAAGTTGATGGGATTCGGTCACAGAGTGTACAAAAATTACGATCCAAGAGCAAAAATTGTCAGGAAGGTCGCTGAAGAAGTTTTTGAAGTGTGCGGTAAAGAGACTTTGATCGATATTGCCATGGAATTAGAGACTATTGCCCTCAATGATCCTTACTTCATCGAAAAGAAGCTCTATCCAAATGTAGATTTCTATTCAGGAGTTATCTATAAGGCAATGGGATTCCCACCAGACTTTTATCCAGTTCTTTTCACCATCCCAAGGATCGCTGGATGGCTTGCTCATTGGAGTGAATTCCTTGATGACAAAGATAAGAAGATCGTCAGACCAAGACAAATATACACTGGACATAGAAAGAGAGGCTATGAACTCAAGGTGGAAAGAGACGTAAAGGTGAATGTCTCTCTTGAATCTACCAAGTCCACAAATGGCGTCAGAAGAAAGGCGGCATACAGATATTGGAAGTCCGAACATTAAATGTTTACGTCATTCAATACTCCATCAACATAAAGGGGTTTTGGGGTTTTGGGGTTTTGGGGTTTTGGGG